TTCCATGTACGATGATGTTTATCTTCTTTGGCACAGTTTTGATGGTGAAACATCAAAATCTCGTCAAAACATGGAGGGAAAATCTTTTCGCGTGCGCAAAATGCGCGCCATCACAACAATAAGAACCCTCCACGTGTGTCGTTCTTTGGGAAACTTTGAGAAGACAAAGTTTGCGAGGGAGGAAATGTCAAGGGGGAGATAATGTGGTCAGAAATTGTGTACAAAAGAATTGTTTTTAGTATATTTCTTATGAATTTAAGGCAAACTTTGCCACTAAACAACCTTCAAAATCATTTATTCTTGCATCTAATCTGCTAAAATTTGCATTTATCTATTGGAGATCACAAGATTTCAATAATAAATTGCGTTAATCAGGCTAAGATTGAACATAACCTCAAAAATATTTTTCCAGGATACAAAATTGACTATTTTAAGAGCTTTTTGTTTGATTTCTTACTCTGAATTAGTAAATTTCAGCTCGTTTTCGATTAGTCTTGCCTTTAAAAGATTCCAAAAAAGTTTCTTTCAAGGATTTTTGAGGTTATGTTCCAAAATAAATCCAAAAGAGCGAATGAAAATTGAATCACATCAAAATATCCACTAGAAACGGTTAATATTTCTTTAATACTGTTTCTCTTTTTAGTTTTTTAGGTTAAAATGTAAAAATTGCGTCTTTTTGGGGACAAAGACTTCTAAATTTGAGGTTATGTTACTTTAGACAGCTGAAATAATCTATAAAGTTGAGAAAAAAGAAGGAAAATGCATGTTTTAAGCACTGTCAATGTTCTAGAAGTGTCTGTGATTGTGCACAGAAATTGTGTTGTACACTCTTTAGCCGCATTGTCTCCCCCTTGGGAAATGTCAGACAAATTGCCAAATTGTCACCACTCGGAAGCCTCTTCTTTGTGATCCTAATCGTGGGCTCACATCGTCAAATTTCCATCAGACAATTGGGTTTTCCATCCACGCAGACTTGTTCTCAATTCCAACCCGAAGTGATTGTCTGAATGGGAGAATTGCGCGCATTGAATGGCATTCGCGAAAATTTTTCAGCTCATTCATGGGGACACAGATTTGGAGTTTGGGAAAAATTGCCGGGCCTTTTGTGGCCGCGACACTCTTTTTTTATTTCTTCTTCTGCCACAAGACAAGAGCTGTTCTGGCGTGCCTTCTATTGAAATGATTAATTGTAATGTGTGTTCCACTCTACACAAATTATAATTATCAATCACTATAATCAGATGAGAAATGCCATAGAGATGGGAAATCTATTGAATGCGCGCGCCTTCCAACCAATTCCGCCGGCGGGCGGAAAAGAGGGAAAAGTCTGTGCAAGTTCACAATTCCAACAATCACCCATTGCCTTTTTCATTGTCTTGCAAACGGCAAAATTGGAAGTAACGGACCCGCGACGGAGTATCTCTTCCCGGCATCATACTCAGGTGGGCAAAATCTCAGAGGCATCGATTGGCGTCGACACCGCGAGAGTGCGATGAAAAAGGCACTGGCATAAATCGATCAGAGCTGTTTTCTATTGAAATGCACTCTAATATCATCATTTGCCATTTTCTCCCCGGCAAATCCATCATCGGCTCTCCGTGTGCAATTCTTCACAATGCCATCCATCTGTGTGTGTGTGTGTCGTTTTGCTGTATTAATTTTAATTATTGACTTCTTAATGGCATGCTAAACTCCCTTTTGTGCAGCCACACAAAAGAACTAAGAACACAATCTCTAATAAGAAATGGAAGAAATGGATAGTTTCTTTTTCCCATTTCACTGCACAAAACTGTGCATTTTTCCTACACACAACTTCCTTTTGGCGCTTTTTCCGCCGCTTCCGGGAACCGCGCTCAAATCAATTTACTCTTCCCTTCTCAGCACCAAATCACCTTCCAGCCATTTGACTCTGCAAACAATCAGAATATAATCACCGCCTTGAGCCATAATAAATGCTGCTCGCGCCAGAGAATCAAATTATTAAGAGAGTGATAAACTTTTCCCCAAGAATAACAGTGCATTTGCATGCATCTCTGCGATTTTCTCAAGCACACATTCTGAAAAATTCACTGGCTAAATCTTTATAGACTAAACGTGAGACTATTTCTTATCTCCAAATGAGACAAACTTCACGTAAGTGACAACACTTGTTGCAATCATTCTTCCTCATATTACAATGTTAATGTGTCTACAAGGGGGAGGTAATGTGATCAGAAGTGGTGTACAGCTTGTGAGGAAGTGTTAGAAATAGGATTTTGAATATTTGTACTGCCAAAGTTTCTGTTTCAACAAATTGAGGCATTTTCCAAGTTATTTTGCTCATAAAAATGATATTTTTTGTCTTTCTAGGTTATGTTATTGATTTAAGACACATTTTAGTCATTAAATAACCTCCAAAATTACAAACTTTATGTTTAATTTGGGAAATATTCCTCTTTTTCCAGGCAAATTAGAGCATTGACGTTCGAAAAATTTCATATTGATCGAGAAGAATCCTTAAAAAGTCAATCATAACCTCAAAAAAATCAATTCTGTCTATAAGAATGCCTTTTTTCTTACTTATTTCTACGGTTTATGCTTAAATGTGGGATATTTTCGTTATAATTATCCATTTTCAAGTTTGAAAAGAATAAAATTACTCCAAGAAATATTTAAAGCTTGAATGAAAATCACGACTAAAGTCACACATAACCTCAATTTCTCACTAAACAGCCCCGATTTTGAGTTAGAAAGATTCTAGACGATATCTACCCAAATATATCCAAAGTCAGTTAGATTTCAGTTAGTTTTTGGTTATTTTTCAAATTAAGAATAAATATTGATATTAAAAAACGGAATTAAAAGCAGTAAAACCTTAAAAAGAAAAGCATTTATGTCTGCTAACGCGGATAGAAAAGTATGCAAATCAGTGTTATAAAACTGTTAGTAAGATTTTAGTTAGATATCAGTTAGATTTCAGTCAGTTTCTAGTCGTGGGAAGTGTTAAGAATTTTCCATACAAATTGTGAAAGTGCTGTACAAGTTTTAGTCATATTATCTTCCCCTTGAATGCTTATGCGCGACTTTATAAGGTCAAGATCATCATCTTGATCTCTTTCTCGCGATCTGTTGATAGTGAAATTCCTTGAAATGCAGCGTAATAAAGTAAAAGACATCAACAGAGACACTTTCTGTGGGGTTGTCAGATGAAACACACAAGAAAAATATCCAAGATTTCTTACATTTTAACCCAGTGAAATGTGCATTCAAAAAGTAACGAACCATCGACTTGACCATCAATCTCTTGGAGACTTTTTTTTCCCAGATCCCGGAACAATTCACATCACTTGGCATTGTTTTTTGAATGGAACTCCAAATCAAAATCATTCCTAATTTCCACAATTACCTCCCAAATTTACCAAATTAGTGGGCAATTTTTAGGCAATCTTCTTCTCAATTTCATCCAGATTGCACATCTTAATTATGCGAACCTTTCGGCCCAAGAATAGGGTTAGAAAAGAAATTGTGTTGTCCCATTTTTCCCAAAGCATATTAAATGCCCGCGGAATTTATGGTTTGACACGAAGTGTGAAGGATCGGAAAAGGCTGTTAAAATTCCTCTTCGATATTCCAATAAGGGCCACAAAATGCGATAGAAGTTGTAATTTATTGTGTGATCATCTAGAAAACGCCTCATGATATAAATTATGGTTTTCCGCTTCTTCTCCAGCCTCAAAACGAAAAAGTCCGCAGACACAAAAGCCACATTGGAGAGTTAAGTCGGGATTATCGACTTGCTCTTATTGTCTCATAAAACAGTTCAGCTCTTCTGCACTTCTCTTGGCGTCTCATTAGACGTTTTCTCCGGTGCACTTGAGAGATGATTTCATTAAATTGTGGAACTGTTTCGCTCAAGACGTTTTGCCATGCGCAGTAAGGGAAAAAAAGAGTTGAAGTCTCAATTTGTACATAGGCGCATTTATTTGTTTACTTTCAATAATTTATTCAAGAGCATCCCAGAGAGCCTGTGAGAGATGATTGGGAAGAAAAACGGGGAGGAAAAGACCGAGGAGATCCGTGATTTCTAAGCGCGTCTGAGAGGCAAAAACAGACTCACACAGATTCGAAAGAGAGTCTTCTGTGTGGTGGGCAAAAGAGAGGCGAATCCGCGGCTGGCGTGCGCGAGAGAAAGACGCGCGCATCTTGAGATTGGAAGAAGGGGCGCAAGTCAAGAAGTGGAGGAAGCATTAAAAGCAGTTGGAAGGCCATTGACTAGAACATTTGTTATGGAACCTTCGCGGCGTTGAAGTCTCTGTTGCATTGCTGTGTTTTTTTTTCTCCTTATTGTTCTTGTGCGCTTTCTTGGCTCTCGAAAAGTCCGTCGCGGTGTCGCGAATCCTGTGCCGAGGATAATCAGAAAGCAACCAAAAGAGAAAAGAAAGTGAAGAACTTAGAGACTTGGTGGATGATTTTCCAGCAAGACAAAACAAGGAATACAAAACCGTACTTTGTGTGACGCTTTCAAACGCGCGCTCTTCACCGAAAAAAAAATAATAGAGAAAATAGAGTAAAAGATGAACATTTAATTGAAATAACTGTCGATGTAACGCAAATAATTAATTATGATTTTGGATCAGTGAAATAAAAGTTGAGTTCAAGACATAATTACATGTATAAGTCAGTGGAATGATGTTCAAAGTGGATTCTACTTTCAAATACAGTTCTTAACTTTTATCTCTCTTTCACACTCTCCACTTGGTAATTTTTACCTCAATCGGGCAAATTGAGAAATTCTTGGGTGGAAAACCGTAATATTCTTTCATGTTGTGATACTATTTAAGTCTCTCTCCTCCTCCTCCTCTGGCTAACGCTCGCGAGTGCGGAGTCCAAGAATTGCCAATTAAATCGAATCTCTCAATTGCACAGCCGAAGAGCGCTGCATTTCCACGCTCACTTGCTATTCCGGAGTGATTTTCTTTTCTTCTGTTTTTTTGGGGGTCCGAAACGTTCGTGGGGGGAAAATGCCGCCGCCGGTGCTGCGATGCCTGCTGCTGAGCGCCGCGGTGCTCATGTTGGCCAGGAGTGTGAGTGCGACATTTCCGGGTGTTGTGGAACCAATGAGGACAAATCGGCAGAACCGTGTGAGTCGCGAGTTCATTCCCGTGGAGACCATCACGAGTGATCCCACGGCGGCGCCACCAGCCAGCGCCGCCGCGGCCGCGCACCTGCGGGAGCTCATTCATGTGAATCCGGACACGCTCACGGCCCAGCAGCGGCGTCTACTGGAGCAAATTGTGGACAGAGTGGCGCGATACGGTGGATTAATGGTGACTAACAAAATTCCAGTGGAAGCCAACGGTGATGAGGATGCAGCGCGAGCTCATCCGACCCGCAGCGGTACTCGGAACAAGAGCAAGCCGACCACCAAGAGGCCATCGTCCGTGGCAACAAAGAAGCCAACGTCTTCCGCATCGCAATCCGCGGCGACGGCCGCCACGAAGGCGCAGAAGCAGAAGCTCAGGCCCGCGGACGACCTCACCACGCTCACGCCGCCCGTGTCGCCGGCCACGCACGCTGAGGCCAAGACCACCAGCGCCACGAGCCGCCACACCGTGAAGCCGTCCGAGCTGTCGCTCTACGACTACAACGTAACGGCTTCGGCGCTGATCGAGAGCCTCTCCAAGCCCAATTCCGTCGCGTACCAGCAACGGATCCGACTGCCTTCCGCATCCACCAATGCCACGAAGACCAAACCCCAGGTGAGTCCGCGCCGAGGGGCGAATAACTGACGAGCGCGCGCGCCCACGAGATTGCCCGCGATTAGCGCCGCTCATTTCCCCAATCACTCGTATCAAATTATCCCCGCCGTCTTCGGCAAATTGCTGCCCAGGAGTTGAATCTTGATTGAGAAAATCAACATTGAGCCGATCATCAGCTGAGGCTAATCAATTTCAAACGCTTGCATTGCAGCGATCTTTATGGCTCTTTCCCAAAGGCCACTTTTCTCCCGCCGCCGAAGACGCCGAGGATCATTCTTAACGCTCAAGAACACTTCCTTTGAGCTTCATTTCCCCATACTTCTGCCTCGGAGAGCTTTCCATGGCAAAATGCAATTTACAGGGAATTTTATTGCAAATTTTTCATGCGGGTTTGAAGAGATTCAACAGAGAATTCGCCGAATTGATGCATTTCCAAGGGGGAGATGCATTTTTATTGATTTTTCCAACCGCTTAATGTAACATAATCACAAATTTAGGTCGAATTTGTGCTAAAAAAGACGCTTTTTTTTTACTTTTATCAGCCTGAAAACTTACAGAAAAACAGTTTTTAAGAAATATATTCAGTTTCAATCGTTCTTTTGGTTGAACTTTGGAACATAACCTAAAAAATCCTTGAAAGAAACTCTTTTGGAATCTTTTAAAGGCAAGACTAATCGACAATGAGCTGAAAATTGTCTATTTTAGAGTAGAAAATCAATCAAATAGTTCTTAAAATAGACAATTTTGTATCCTGAAACAATATTTTTGAGGTTATGTTCAATCTTAGCACAATTAACACTGTTTAACATTCTTTATTACAATAAAAGTTTCATAAATGAGTGTTTCTCAATGTTATTTAGTTAGGAAATGTTCCTTAAAGTAAGATTCATAACCTAGAAAAGCAAGGATTCTGACCAAAATATCTCTCCCTTGAGCATTTCAATGCTTTTACTCTACTTTGACTTCTTCTTTGCTCCATTTTGGCTCACAGAAGTTAAGAAGTGCTTCAAGAAATGACGTTTCACTTCCAAAAACGATAATTTAATTATTGATAGCACATAATTATGTGAAGAATTAGGCGAAATCACACAAACTTCCCGTGCTTTTGGCGCAATAAAAACCCTAGAAAATGAGACTTGATCAGCATATTTGTTGATTAAATCACAAGAAAAAACAACACTATCATAAATTCCGTGCTTTGAGTACATCTTATGGGCCAGAAGAAAAAGTAAGACAGCTGTAAAACTGTGCAACTCTTGCATACTTCGTAGGAAGTTGGAATTAAATGTTGAATGGTGTGTAATTTTACAGCACAAAATTGCTGTCAAATAATGCATTTATAAGAGGAGTTTATTGCCCCCTCGTAAAGAACATCTTCTTTTTATGTTGTGAATCTGTTGTTTTTTCAATTGAAGGTAAAATAAACTGCGCGATGGCAGTAAAAAGAAGTTAAGGTGAAATCAGATAAAATGTGCGCCAAAGTGCGCCTCATTTGTAATAGAAAAAAAAATCTCCCAAGGAATTGCATTTCCTTTGGACATCTGGCCAAAGAGCACGAAAATGCAGATATTGCGGATGATTTGCCAGGTGAAGGCGATCAATTCTGCGCTTGAATTCAACCCAATTGCGCGGCGTCGTGATTTTATCGGCGCCCTGAGAAAAAAACTGATATAAATATGTCACGTGTGGCACAGAGAGAACACATTCTGCGATGGCGTTTGAGGCGCGGGGTGTGTGATAAGAGGCATTTCTTGGCATTTTCTTGGCATTGCTTTCATTGTCAGTTGCGCCCAACAAAGATCTCTTTCTCCGCGCGCAATGGCGAAATGCGATCGCGAGCGAGCGCGCGCGCTTCAAAAAACGTGATGCTGAAAACCTTTTCCTACTGGCGTATATTTCCACATGAACAAAGGAAGAGGAATTTGTTTTCATTGTCAGGCGCAAAATAAGTCCATTTCTGACATAATTTATTGAGTCATTGAGCTCGGAAATCCTGGGAATTTCACTCTATTTTCCACATGAAAGCTCCTCGCCACATATTATGTCACGATGCGTGCAGAGATTCACGCAGAATGATTCTTATGTGCACTTCTTCTTCTTGTACATCCAGAGAACTTCCCCTAAGCATATCAGTGAGGAATTGCTAATTACTTTAATTCCTATTGGCAGTTTAGCATGTGAGAATTTATTGCACAGCTGCCAACACTAATTTAATTAAAAAAAAAAGAGAAGAAAACCTCACGAGATGCGCGCTTCTGCGGAGCGACATTGAACGAATCTGCATAGAAAGAATTCTTCCATTACGAATTCAGTGTAAAAATCGCTACATTGTGACTCCATAACATTCCATCTCATTCATCATGGCAGCGAGATTTAATTCATTCTGTGCGCTGATGTTGATGAAGGAGAAAAAAAAATGACAAAGAATAATTTCCCATTGGCAAAAGAGAGAGAAAGAGAGGAAGGAAGAGGAGGCAAGGAGAGGAATATAAAGGAGATCGTGTAATGCCAACAATTGACAAATTTATATTCTTTCAACATAAACTCCATCATGCAAGTTGATGAAGTTGATGCTGATGCAAAACCCTTCACTGACCTACGAATGGGGAATTTCAATAAGAGTGATACTTTTCCGTCCAGACATTGAGGAATTTATATCATCGTGCGCAATCTGGCATCGCGAAAAGAACGTGGATAAGCAAAACACCAAGTTTAGCTTTTATAACTTGGATTTTCCGGCATTGACAGATAAGATTTTGAAGATTTTATTAATCAAATGAATTGTTCTTTTACTAAATATCATTAAAACAAGCTTTAGATTATTAGGAGCAAAGAAATAGCACTGAAGTCAAAGTGTTTTTAAAATTGAAACTTTAAACTATCATAACTTCGGTTCTATTGCATCGATTAAAAAATTTGACATATTTTTAGAGACATCCTGACTTGGACTGTAACATACTAAAATCTCATCTTGATGCATAATAGATTTGCCGAGATACAGGCGTTTAAAGTTTAAGTGTGAACTTTAATCTGTCATAACTCTGGTTCTACAACGTCAAATCTAATAAGTGGGGTATCGCTGAAAAGGTCTCGATGTCAGCTATAACATACTGAAATTCGGAGTAAATCCATACAACAGGGGTTGAATAAATGAGCAAAATGTCTTTTAAAGGTGTTCAAAATGGCGATTCGTTAGATTTAGACTAAAAATGTTTCGATGCGCGGAAAATGGTAACATTTTGAGGAAAAAGACCGCACGAAAAGTGGCTAAAGTGATTGCTATAGTAACCTTCATGTTCACTAACCATGACCATCGGAGACGTTTGCATGAAGAATATACTCAACTGGCGCACAATGTGAACTTCCCAAGAAGCTGAGTGTGTGAGGCAAAAAAAAGAGTGACGAAGAAGTGGAATGGAGAAATGAGATTGTGTCAGAAAATAGAACTTTGGGGAGATCATTTGATACCAATAACAATTCATCAGCGATGCTCATCGACACATTAATGCTGTGGAGATCAAACGGAATCAATTCGGCACAGCAATTGCTGCACGATTCGCACGACAGTCACGAAAATGGGCCTCTTATGTCCTTCTTCTTTTTTTTTCGGCACACAATCACACCTTTCGTCCAATTTTCCGCGGCCAGCGTGAAAGTCTGTTGAGAAATTCCTCACAATTTGCCCAGAAGTCAAATAGATGAACGTGGAGAAGAAGTGATGCGACAATGTTCCACGGAATTGCATGATGATGAAAATGAGTCAATAAGATGCTCTTCTGTGGTCGTGGTTAGGAAATCATCAAGACAGAGAGAAGAGATATTATGCATTTGCGTATGCGTTTAATGCGCCATCGAAGAATGGAAAAAGAAATACGCCTACTGACCTCATTTTCCCGCCAGTGGAACAGCAGAATTCACACCATAATGCTCGCAGAATCTCTGGCTCTAGAACATCATGGAGGCAAATTGCGCGCACAGAGAAATTTCCCGACGCTCTTTTCGCCTCTTTTCCATGTGCACAACTTCTGCACACGTGAGCAGCATCGAGTGGCGTTAAGTAATCACCGCAGATGTATGTTAATCGGGTGTATTAAGATGGGCTTTTTGAGTGAGAAACGCCAGGGAAACACGTAGGTTTAGTAACTGACACGGCAACCTTTTAGGGACCGCGAGAAGACATCAGCACGAATCATAATTCAGCCTTAATCGCATCACCATTATGACAGCGCGCTACCTTGTGATGATGACGTTGGATGAGAGTGAGAGAAAAGAAGCCCGAATCTTTGTGGGGATTCTTCTAAGTAAAACACGAAGACTTGAAGCTTCTTCAAGATCAAGAACTCGTCAGAATCCCCATGGAAAAGTGTGACCCAAATGTGACGAAATCCCACAACAAGTCATGCGAAGCACATTTCGCTGGCGCGAATGGCCAAGGAAAAGGGGCAGAAGATGGTGAAAGACACCGCCAAAGACATGGCGTTGCAGCTAGGAAGCGATTTGTGTGTTGGACTCCGTTAGAATTGTATCATGACTGCATTAAATACCATTGAATATCTCTTCCATCCGTGGTCTTCTTGTAGCAAACACTTGTAAGAAATTCATTCTCCCTTTTCATCCCATTCTCTCTGCTCTCTTGATGTATTAATTTTTAATGAAGAAGAATTAATTCCATCTCTGAATTATTCCAATGGCTATACAAATCCTCTCTGGCGTGAAATTACACCCAAGAGTGGATCGACCTCGTGGCGCTCGAACAGCGCATTTTCAACCGTTGTGCGCGGCGCCAAAAATTACCACGGCAAAAGTCCTTCCGTATCGCCATCACGATCCTCCTCATCAGCCATGCGCGCCACGGTCAGCGACGGATTGACTCTGACCTCCGGAGATCGCGTGTGAGCAATCGTTTAAGGTCACTGTCACGTTTCACAAATTGGCTGCACCACGAGTGCATTTTGCCTCCAACAAATTGACGAGCAGGGAAAAAGGGTACAAAACAAGGG